TAGAATTGAATTAGATAAATGCAACACAATTTTATCGTTGAGAAACAGAAAAAGAATTAGATTGTCAACATTTCAAAAGTTATCGTGTAAACGGCCGGACGGACATACTGACCGATTCAAGAGTCTAGGAACTTTTTGAGTACACAAAAACTTAATCTCGCACATCTTTAGATGGAACAAACTAACTGGTCTCATGGGATGATTTTTTCATTCCACTCCGAACCCTGATCCGGAGTGCATATTCGTTGAGTTGAATAAATATATTATCGAACGTTCAATCATGTATGTAAACAAGAGCATTCAAATATGTGAACATTCTTTCAATGCTAATAAAGTTAGTTAAACATTCATTCAAATGGAAAAAAAAACCTAGCTACACAACCTGAACAAAATTTATCGATATTTTAATTTCACCAATGGAAGTTTTCAATATTAATATTCATTTGCATGGTCCTAGAACAATTCGTCGCATGACATGTTAGTCTTAATATATCCTGAATGAGCATTAAAAGTGGATCAGTGAGAGCATAGAAAAGATCCTCAGTTACATAGAAGTTCATATATGAAATTATTTTATTTCTTATATTGATTTATGAATTTCTATTATTCATATATCACTCCTGACATTGAATAACATTTCCTATGTATCTGTCTATCATTTCTTATTTTATTACATAATATTTACAGATTTCTTTTTGCAAAATGAATACCATCATTTATCTTTTGAAATCATACATCAAACTTTACAATTTATACATAGAAAAAAAAACAAAATCGTAAACATTATTCCCTTTTTTTTTCTTTCTTTACTTTCACAAGCGTTGTTTTAATATCGAGAATATTGTTTACAACATCACATTGAATTATTTCAAGTAGAACAGATTGTCCTAATTTAAATATAAAATTATGATAAACCGGTGGTATTGTATCACGAATAAATGATGCATTGAAACGATTGTGTATTAAACAAGCTAAAATATAGAACAATAAAATACTAAAAAAATATTTTTCTTTTCAAATGAAATTTTTTACCGATGTGTGTTTTTGCCAAGTTGTGATATAATAGCACGAACACGTCTACCACGTTCAGGTTGAAATAAGACAAAATTAAGTCTGACAGGTAGCCATAATGTTGGTTCATCTTGAAATGTTTGACCAACATGAGATAATAGATGAATTTTACCAATAGCAAGTAGAAATCCATTTAATCTTAAATATTTTAAAAAGAAAAAATTTAAAATTTTCTAGCTAATATGTCATATATACTTTTTTGTTATTTCATTTGAACTTTCTTCAAGTATTCGTTTAATATTTCTTTTAGGTTTTCCTATATGATTTGGTGGTAATGGTACAAGTATTGTTTGACATTTATGTTCCAAACATGATTTTTTATCATTAATAAGTGGAAGAATTTCATTTAATTTATATAAATTCATTCTTTTTTGTTTTTTCTTGTTCTATCTGTAAAAGAAAATGATATAATCGAATATTTTATTTATAGAAAACATTGAAGAAAAGAAAAAAAAAACAAGACAAGGAATTTTCTTTTTATTTTTAATCCTTTGTTACATGTTGAAAACCAATTAATTTATCTGGATATTGATAAAGGCATGCATCAACTTTTAATTATTGAATATTTTCTTGTATTTTTTGTAAATGTTGACAATCTAATTCTTTTTCTGTTTCTCAACGATAAAATTGTGTTGCATTTATCTAATTCAATTCTATTTAATATCATTGCATTATTATTTGTTGTTGTTGCCATTGTTGGTTCAACAGTAGGAACATGTGGAGATTGAAATAACGCTTTATGACTACCATCCATCTAAAAAGCAAAAAAAAAACGAAAGATTTTCATTATTATTAAATATTTTAAGATCATGTGTGTTATGGTCTACGATTAGTTATCTACTGGAATCGTATCTATTCAATATTTAAAATATATTTTTCTATGACTATAATCAGTTCACTCTAGAAACGTTATATCGTTAATTAGTAAATATCATTACCATTTATCAATCGTTTAATTTAACTATTAGTCGAAATAAATATATATAATATAGAAATATTTTCATGTTTTTATTCAATGAAATTCATAAAATAAATTAATTATATTTTTCATATTTATTTAATAAAAGATATCGAATGTTAAAGGATAATATTCGTTTGGTATATTGTTATATAGCGTTAGAATTTGTTTACTTTAATAATATAATAAAAGTTAACCATTATCTATATAACGCCAATGAAATAACAAAAGAAATTCGCGGTCTTTTATTTCTATTGAGAATAAATAATATGATACACAAGAATAAAACAAAAATATTAATGAATCAATCAGTCGGTTTTTTTTTCAGAAAAAACGAAGAGAAAAGAAGTGAATAAAAATCGTTAAGGATAACCTTGAGAGGTATTTCACCGTTCATATTCTTCGATATATTCAATATCTAAATAATCTTGATCATAAAGTAAATCATCATAAATAAGTTCAAACATAAGGTTATGGTAGATTTGGTCAATCAGTTTATCTACAATCTGATATTAAACTATTTGAATGTGTTATTCTTCGATAAAATGTATTTCTATTTATTGATGGTGATTGATTCTCTTGTTGATAATAATGATAATTTGATGAATTTGATCATTGTTCAGTTTCTCTTTCAATTTAATGTTGTTGATGATTAAATTGTAGGAGCAGCTGATGATAAAATATGATTGATATTCTATATAACGCTACTATTTTAATTTCTATTCAATCTTCATCAGTTAATCAGTTGATGTTGAATTAATATTTTCTTAAGATTTTGTTATTTCTATCCGATATTGATCGAATATTTACTGATGTTATTGCAGAAGAACAACAAGGTCTTACTTAATCTGTTCTTCTATTATTATTATTATTTGATGATGTTGTTAAGTAAAAGTGTTGTTAATTAACGATGGAATAAAAAGATCATCAGATGGTGTTAAACGAATAAAATTCGTTTTGTTAAGATAATTTCTATGATGTATAAGTGATGGAAGATGTTTAATTATTTATGAACTAATTGGTTTGTTCTGTTGATGATGTATCGTTGTAATTGACGTATCTATGATTGACATTTATCAATTATTTCATCTAAATAAATAACGAAACAAAAAAGAAAAAAAATAGGATTAGGTCCCGTTTCGTCGAAAGCTTAATTGATTTTCCCGTTTCGTCGAAAAGTTATTTTTCTTCCATTCCCGTTTCGTCGAAAATGAAAAAACGACTGTTCCCGTTTCGTCGAAAAAATAAATTCTGCTTAATCAACGAAAAATAGATTATATCATTTGATGCGATTTTTCGTCATACTAATCAGGAATAGTGCCTAATTACTTATAG